ATATATATATATATAATCATATATTATTATTGCAGATCTATTCAAATACTGCCAGCTGCAACAGTAAAAGTGCAGATATGGAGGGGCTTCTATCAGTCCTGCCTTTTGTATTTCCATTTTTTTTTTTTAAATGAAAAAGTATATTATGCTTATTAGACACTAGAAAACTACTAACTTACAATAGGTGCTCTTTCACTGTTGTTGTTAATGCAGGGTGCTGAGCTTTCTGTAGGGTAAGTTCTAGCTTAAGGAGACTCCAGTTTGGGAAACAGACTCAGTTCTACTGAGCACAAAACGTTAAGAGACCCATTGAACTCCATTCAACACGCAAGTCAAGAAATGCTGACAGTGCTTGCCTCCAATTTATACCTGTGCAACTGTTATCCGAAACAGGCTTCAGGTCTCCAAATAACACCTCCTTTAACATTGTGCAAGATTGTATAAAATCCCCTTAAAGAAAGGTCCTGCTGCTTGCTTTTAAATTCCCTATCCTGTGAATACGAGCTGCTAAAACACCCACACAGCTTAGTCTGGGGCATTTCCTAAGCCTCTAGAATCAGCAAGCAGAACAAAGGGAGGTTGGACGCTGTTCTCACCTGCCACAGACCACATTTGCATGAGCTACTTCAGTCCCCACGTTTGGGTTTTTGCTTACTGTCACATAAAGAAGCATCTCTGTCTGGGGCCCTTCCCCCAGTGATTGTTTTCTTCTGAGCAGGGCAGGATGCTGCAAAAGAAGGACCCGAGGTGCAAAAACAGGCACAACCTCTACTCAGGGGAGATCAATGATCTGTTAGCGAGGGGCTATCAGCCACTAATGTTACTTGCTATTTCTTTGCTTAGCTCAGCTGGTATGTTATAGGTATCAAGAACTGCAGAGGTTACACAGGCTATTTATAAGTGGAAAGTCTAAGGTTTAATCACTTATTGTCAAAATAAAATAAAATAAAAATCTCCCTTCTCCAGGACTTGACCCACAAGGAGATAAGAAACAATGCAAAGAGCACTAAACCCTCCCCTACCATGCAGTTGCTTTAATTTACAAGCAGGATGGGTCTCCCTTTTGTTCAGGCATCCAGCAGGCACAAGGATCCGTCAGGGATGGGCTCCAGGGGTTTATACTGAAGAGGAGCTACAGGATGCTGGAAGCACAGCCAGACAGAGGCGGGCTCAGAGAAACAGGGCACCATCAGCATTACCTGTCTATACGTGGGAATTGTCTCCAGATATACTTTCAGAGTCAAAGTCCACCAGCTCTGCCTGGCCTTCGGGTGCCGTTTGGCTCCAGCTGTCTGTACAGTCTGATGCAACATCATCCTCTCCCACTGTCACCTCCACCCAGTTGACCTCTGCTGGCTCCTCATTCTCCTCGCTGCCGTGGCCATCGTGGCTGTTGCACTCTAACCTGTCCGTACCCTCTGCTTGATTCCCCAACAAGGAGTCTTTCAGTGGTTCGCAGTCTCTTTTTGCTCTCACCACTAGCTTCCCCCCATTCTCTTCGTTCAGTTTTTTACGCTCCTGGTAATGCTGCCGAGACACCTCATTATCATTCTTTGGACTCTCAGCGTGTTTTGATCCCTTTTTCTGGCTTTGCTCATTATGACCATCAACAACATACTGCTGCTGGTACTGGTCAATCCATTTAAGTGACCCTGTTCTTAGTGAAGATCGGTTCTCCTTGAACCAACGAACTATCTCAGTTCTTGTGAGCCCAGTCTGAGATGCTAACTGGTCATACTCCTGGGGCGATGGCCACTGGGTCCTTGCAAATGTGCTTTTCAGTAGATGAATCTGTTCTTGGGTTTTCTTCAATGTGGTGGAGGACCCAGATAAAGCACCAGGGAGCTGAGAGCTACTCAGCAGTTCTGCCTGGTTTATTGCACCGTTGGGAGTTCCTTGTTCTTTAATTTTTCTGTATGATCCCATTGAGTCCAAGACAGCTTGCTCCATGCTGTCCCTTATCTTTCTTCGCTCAGAGAACCAGGAATCTATCTCCCTCCTACTCAGCTTAGTCTCCACTCGCAGCCTGTCCAGTTCTCCTTGAGTAGGAAAAGAGCACTTTAGGAAACTCTCCTCAAGAGCCCTAAGCTGCTCTTGAGTTTTTTCTCTGAATCTCTGGTGAGTAAAATCTGTGTACGGGTGAAACGTTCGGCCATGTCGGCCAGCTGAAGGTGCTATTTGATCTTTCCCTAGAGCATCACCAGCGAGGTGCACAATGCCTCTCTGACTTCTATACCTGTGGTCACTGAACCATTTCTTGATCTCGCTCCTGGAGAGACCCGTTGCCTCTATCAGTCGGTAGACTTCTGCATCATCAGGAAACTGGCTTGCCATGAAACTGGCCTTCAGCTCTGCTATCTGCTCCTTCGTCTTTTTTCGCTCACTGGCTGGCGTCAGCGGCACAGCAGTCAGCTTGGCAGGAATCTCAGGCACCTGAACTACATGAGGACGCTTGGCCTCTGGAGCACTTGATAAGGTCTGTATTGTCCTCTTTTGCCCCTGGTTCGGGGCAACAGCAAGTGTAATTGGTGAACAGGAAACGGTTGAACCATTTGACACAGGAGTCAACACCAGACCGGTCTGGCCCAGTATCTGACAAGGCAAAGCTGTCTGGATGATGGGCTGGGGCATTTTTGCAGTTGCCAAAGGAGCTGGCAGGACGGTGATGGTTTGGGGAACTGCCTGGATAGTACCGTTAAACATCTTCTTTCTTGCCTCCTCCACTTCTTCGGGAGACCAACTTATACCATGCTTCAAACGTTGTGTAGCAAACCAGATTCGGATTTGTTCTTCTGGATGTTTTGATGCTGCTGTCAACCATGACAACTCTGCTTGTGTTGGGTAAGGAAATTTATTAAAAGAGTTGATCATAGTTGCATTAGTGTCCAGTGCAGAGTTGTATTTGGTACTGTTCAGAGGTACCGGGACCTTGGGGACAAGGTTAATATTTGGTGGCAGCTGCACAGAGGGCATAACGTGGGCCAGCACATCATGGAGAAGTTCTCCGTTGATACAAGCAATAGCTTCAGTGGCTTCAGTTATGATGCGGGGGAGAGTGCCATCCACGTGGTTTTCTGGAACTCCCTCTTCTGGCTTTTTTGGACCCTTCTTGGTTTCCCCTTTAGGTTTTCCAGGTTTCATCACTGGTGCTTTACTTGCACTAATTCCCCCATGAAGTGAATCATCACACTCTGTATTTTCTAGACCACCGCTTGTGACAGTGACATCATTAGCAGTGGTCTCAATGGACTGCTCTAAAACAGTCTGATTATTGCGTTTAATTAATTTCAGTTTAAAGTTAGTCTCTCCAGGGTGGTATTTTGTGTTGTGGTCAGATAAAGAATCATATTTTTTGGTTGTGAAGTTGCATTCAGCACAGACATACAGGGGGTTGAGAATGACATTTGGATGCTGAGTGTCAACATGCTCTGTAAACTCATTTAAGTTTTGTGTTGAGTAAGGGCAGTACTTACACTCATAACCACCCTGGGGCTTCTTAGACTGATTTTCAGATGGGGGCTTTGCCTCAACCACTTCGCAGTCTTTGACCGAGCTTTCTGAAGGCCAATTTTTTTTAGAGTCCTGCTGTGGTGCGCCAACCCCCTTCTCTTTAGGAGCCTCTGTGCCCTCGGCACCTTCCTGCTCCATGACTTCAGAAGTTCGTACCATACAGGGAGTTGTTGACTTTCTTTTGCTAGCCATGGTAGGCACTGGCAGCAGGCTGTCGTCCCAAATGATGAATTTTTTTGAGCAATCAACTCAATAGATCTTGTAAACCGCTACAATCTTCCTGGATTACTTTACTCTCTTTTGTTTAATGAAGACTTTCTGCTCTAGCTATGACCATCAGCTCCACCAGCAGACCTGTCAGCTGCATGATACCTGTGAAACAAAGCACACATCATTAAGCACTGATCTATATATAAGCCACATATTTAGCAGAAAGCCACAGCTCAAGATATGTACATTTACAAGGCCGTTTTGGACAATGCTGAACTCTTTCTCCTCCCCGTCATCAACTTAAGAGTCAAAAATCTCCCCACAAAGAATAAAAGCAGTGGGTAATTCTCAATGAGGTGTGCCATAGGAGAAAAATGGCTTTGAAACAAGTAAGATGAACAGACAGGGGATTTTAATCTCCACTAGCCTCAGTGTGTTTAGCTGGCAAAGAAAGAAGATACTGCTATAAATACTGCCTCTTTTTATAGAAGCTGCAGGTTCTAATAATTGTTATTTTGAAGCTTGCAGATTTGAAATCGAGTGTGATTTATATTAAACTTAATTACTTCCCACTGTCACTTACCTTGTACATATGTCTACAAAATGATTGTGGTTACTAATGATGGGTGGTGCTAAATAAAGCTATAAGGCCTGCCTTGGCTGTAAAAGTACAGGCAGAAAGAAGAGTTAATGCAAATCAACACTTTAAAAGTTTCTGTGTCTTTATGAGAGGTGGGTTCAAAGAAACTGCAGTATATCTATGGAGGCCTAGCAAGTCTTTTGTGGAACAAAAGTTTCCTTAAAACACCACTTTTCACTCAATATTGATGGCGGTATCTAGCAAAGGTCACAGAATCCCTTAGATACCTTTTAGCAGGGTCCCTTCCTGTGACCCTGCTGATATTCTCATCAAGCTCCGATTTGTACTCTTTACTCCCTACAGAATTTTAAAAATCCATTTTTAAGCATGATTCATATATCAAAGTGGTTTTGTAAGTTCCCAAATGCAAGAATTCTGTAAAACATATTTTTAAAAGGATCTGAGGTCAACATCAGTCAGAACAACCACAAAGAAAAACTACACCAGCTGTTTTAGGATCTGCTTGCACTCGTCGGGAGCGGGTGGAGGGAAGGAGGAGAATGCAAATGTCAAAAGTTTTGTTAATTAAAAAACCAAAAGCCACTCTCCTGTTTGAAAAGATGCTTTTTCTAATCAGTCCTTGACTCTCATTTGCTCTGGATTCATAATACTTCCAGTCCTGATGAAAAACTCATCTTTTACAGTCAATGAGTCCTTGGATGGGATAGGGTGGGCACTTGAGTTTACAGACTGAAGGAGGATAGAAAGTGGAGATCTGCAGAGCAGGTAAGACCTGCATTAATTTTTGTAGAACCATATTAATTGAAGAATCTGAATGAGTGATCTAATGAAAGACATGCTGGCCCATGGCAGAGGGGATGGCCTAGATGATCGTGAAAGGTCCCTTCCAAACCAAACCATTCTGTGATTCTAAGATCTAATGTCTAACCAAATTCAGATTTTCTCATTGTGAAGCCTGTAAATGATCATTTACACCCAGTACCCAGCACAAAATGAGAGCAAATGAGATAAAATTCCACTGCAGTTACATCTGGACACATCCAACACCAGTGGATGGTTTACAACCCCCTCAGTGCTACCCCCAAATCTGCTTCTCTCACTTGCGTGTTGGCCCAAGAGCCACCAACAGTCACTGTAAAAGCAGCCACTAACCTCTCAGTTCTGTTTGCAGCTCCTGAATACTCTGCAGGTCTCTAGAGCTACCCTGCCAGTCACAGATCACACCACTCTTGTATACATGGAGACTCAAAATTGCACACTGGTAGAGATATAGACTGCCAGCTCCAGCTGGGGATAAGAGCAGGGACAGCAACTTCAAGCTTCATGCACTCAAAACCCAATGTGAAGCAATTGTCCATACATGAAGCATTCCATAAATGAGTTCTCCATGAAGCCTGGCAGATAAGGCTCTTGTGAAACGCTAAATAGGCACCACGGAGAGGATGTATGGTAGGTGCCCCAGCAGAACCACACAGTGCTGCACCTTCAGAGCCACCGCTGCCTGGGCACCTCCCAGCCCCAGCAGGGAACGGGGATGCTCCCTGCACACTCACCCTGATTTGCTGAAGCACTGGAGCATCTGTTTGACTTTCAAGCAATTAGGCTCCAGGTGCTTCCCCGGGAAATGGAGCATCTTTGCTCAGCTCCATCAGGGCTTACAGCCCTGCTTTAGTCATGATGACATGGTGCCATTTCCCTCCTCATTTCTGGGATCACCACCATGGTCCATCATCATTCCCCAAATCTTCGGCACCTCTAGACCAATATCATCTCTTCCATTTCCTTTTTTTCCTTCTCCCTTTTAATAATAAACAAACAGATGAACAGTGGAAGAAATGGTGCCAGGTTTTCTATAGATTTGTGGTGACTGCCCTTTAAACTGGATGACACTGAATATGCTCTATTATTTCCACATATTCCTTCCAAATTCCCTTCTACTTTCCCTCACAATCATTATCCCGCAGAGTATTTTGGCTGTGATCTGTGGTTTGCTGCATCCCATTGCAGACAAGATCAGAAGCTAGAGACAAAGATGCAGCTGTCTGAACACTCATCTTGCTGGCCACCTATTTTTAATGATGCTTACAGAAAATTAATTATATTTCAAGTTTCTTCCTTTGTACCCAATTTAGCTGAAACAGGCCAAAAGATGAAAAAAGGGGGCAGAATGGGGTCTGCAAGCCTGGCAGCTGCTGGAAACAGGGTGAAGGTGGGTGGGTCATCTCACTCCGTCCTGCAGATCTCACCATGCTCATGACATTGACTTTCACAGATCAGGGAACAGAGGTGCAAGGCAGTGCCCTGGGACAGGGTTGTGGAGATGAAGAGGGAGCCACATCTCCTAGGATGCTCCTTTGCAGCTCACTCTCCCTCTCAGGCCACACAGCTGCACCTAACAGTCTGGTCCTTTTCTGATGTGTGACCTTCTGCAAAATTCATGTGACAACATCAGTAAAAGGAAGAAAATTCAAAAGACATCAAAGACAGAGCAAGGCTTATTTATATTTCACTGAATAACCCCCACATGCAAGGAAGAAAGAACTAAGGACAAAAAGATAAAGGAATGGGATGGAAGGTAAAGAGTGGAGAACAAGAAACATTTAGGTTACAAATTCTAAGAAATCTTTGATTCAAAGTCAGATTAAATGTTTTGAATTTCCCAGTCTCTGCAAGCCCTCTGCCACGCTGAGTTGTTGCACTGAGCTCCCACCTCTCATGAGGACATGAGGATCAGTCCTAAGCAAGGATGCTCTGATACAGAGGATGGGCAAAGGGTCAAGGTCCCTCCAAAACATCTGGACAGATGAAAAATTTGATCTGCTACAGTTTTACTAGCAAATTGTACAGACTGTTCCTTCTCTTCCATCTTCTATTCTACAGAGTGGCCTTCCACATGTCCAATTGCTGGTTTGATAACTCTACACTTTGAATATTATTTTCTGTCACATGAGAATCACTATCCACTGTAGAAATCAAGCCCAAGTCAAATGCTTCTTTTTGGAGGTCAGTAACAAAACCAAATGAATTTCAATCTAAGATGTGTAGTTCAGAGAGCTCACCACCAGGCAGAGACTGCCTTTGTACCTTTGACTTGCATCCTGAGAGAGTGGGAAGAAATGACGCCCAATGCCTGTATGAGCAAGGAGAGTTTACTGGGACCTCCAAGCCATGGCCCCTCCAGAACCTCAGTAAGGATGCCATTTGGGATAAATCAATACACAGTTGCTAAGGACGATGGACCCCCCCCAGCACAACTCTGGGAGCTGCATCACATATGTTTGCAGGGACTGCCACATCTCATTTGAGGACATCAGACAGAGTACAAAGAGCATCTTACAGCTTTCAAACATAAGCCACCACTCACTGGAACATCCAAACCCCAGCAGACAGCTTTAAATACGTGGCGTTGCTCCTGACAAAACTGCTAAATGGTGCCACTTCAGCTCCTCTGCTTATTGAGTGAGATGGCTCTCCCAGGCTGTTGCTCCGCTGGAGCTCAGCAGGCAGGGAGAAACACAAATCTGACTCCACAAACCTCTGGATTTCCCCTGCAGATGGCTGTTCCTCCAGCTAGCAATGACTATCAAGATTTGCACAGTGAGGAGAATAGACAATACCACCTCAGCAACAGCCAAGGCTTAGCAACCAGTGCATCCTGATGGGAACTCGAGCTACACTTATTGCCCGGAGCCATGTCCACAGCACACACCCCTCTGAAGGGCAAAATTCACATCTGATGCTCAATGAATAGGGTTATCCCATGGACAGGTCAACCTCTATCCCTAAAGCTGTCCTGGTTCACTCTTCATGTTTCATTATGGACAGGACTCTGGACAACTGACCGCCTCTTTAGGCTGCTGCTACCGTGGGGTGCTCACAGATGTGAGGTGCTCATAAATGTGAGATCCAGGGTTGCTGCTGGTGGCTGTTCCACGAGCAGCAACCCTGGACACAAGGAGAGAAGACAGCCCTCACACCTGCAGCTCACCTGCCACATTCTCCTGCTCATTTTGCCATACTGCAAGGTGTCCAAAAAAAACCCATAAAATCACCTAATTTAAAATTTTTAAAAATATTTTTTAAATGAGCAAACGTGCAAAGCAGCAAAAGGCAACCCACCAATAAGTGAATGTGTTTGGCTCTGAGCAGGCAGCTACTGTTGTGAACAAGTTCCAAACCAAACCACAGAGAACCCATGTACAGAAACAAGAGCTTTCGATTTGCTTTGCTTCAACAAAGCCATCTGGGACAAGAATGTACAGGTCGAAAGCAATGTGTTCTTTCAAACATCTGTCCCCAAAAGCGCGTCACAGCAGTTATGAGTGAGGCCCTAGTTTTGTTTTGCTTAATTTCTGAAACTTAATGAAAGAAATAGCCCAGCCACAGTCTTATGATCTTTCAAACCTATGTTTAAATGGCTCTGGCACACCTGATGTGAGAACAAAGTGGGACCTCATTTGGTGACTCTGTGTGTGACTGAGGAAACAGCACATTTCCTACCTGGTCGCCTGGTCCCAGACAGAGGAAACTGCAGAACACAGCCCAGGGAAAATAA